ATTGATCAAGTTCAATAACATAAATAAGTCTATTTCGTTGATAAATTCGTCCATTCATCCATATTCCTAAACGTGAATTAAGTATACGAAAAGTAAAAATTTGATTCGATCCAAGAAATGTATCAATATGTGCAACAATAATAAAATCATTTAAAGGTAAAATAGATTTAATAGTTGCTGAATATGTTAATGAATATTGTGTTTCTACACGATAAATTAATTGACGCTCATTATTTGTAAATATCGAAAATGAATTATATTGATATGATGTAGGAAAATCATGTTTAATAACATATTGTTGACCATTAATACAATTAATTGTTATTATTATACATATAATTTGAAAGAAAAACGACATTAGTCTGCGTAATACTAGTTCTTATATATTAAACTTTCTTTATGTCTATGCAATGATTCTTTTTTTTCTTTTTCTTTAGTCATTATTATTGATTGACATGAACAAACAAACTCGAACGATCAGATATCATGAAACACTATCGATTGACAAGTTTTGTCTGAATAAATAGAAACACTATGAAAAGATTGAATGTTGTATAACTTTAAAATAATTAGTATAATATATATTTATTTGATAATGATATAAGAAATGTTAACAAATATTTTTTTTTCATCAAACATTTATAAGTATGCTGTATTTTTAAAATAATTTCTAGTTTTCTTTCGAAAAAAGTTCGAGAGATATTTAGCAATTATTGTTTCAAAGAAAAGTTCTTTTTGTTTCTTATTTTAAGTATCACTTGAAATCTTATAAATAAAAATAAGAAAATTTCTTTCGGTAATGTCTACATTAAAAATAAATCTATAAACAAAAAAATACTCTTTGTACTAATGTGTTAAATTATTAGTTTTTGCATTGTTTATCAATAAGTTAGTTTTTTTTTCATGTTGTCCAGGTATATTTTTGTTGAATTTATAAAATCAACATTTAAGTATAATAATATGATTGATGTAGTGTAAATTGTCGGTGTGTCAAGATAATAAAAACAATCTGGTGGATAGACTTCATGTATACAGAAGATTTATCTCATTAAGATTAATGATAAAATGAATAGATATATGTCAACTTATTTATAAAAATTAGCGCTTTCAAGTTTATTTTCAAATCATTCATTATTTGTACAGAATAACAAATCATAAATTCTACTTATTATTTCTATGTAATAATTAACATAGTTATATGTCATAGAAATTCTTCGTATATTATTTTGTCTCATATATATATACATATATATAAATGACCCATAGCTCATTGTATATCTAACCTTTGTCTTTTTTCTAGTGCAGAAATAAATGAAGAATTATGTTGAATAGAAGTGATACGCACGCTTACTTTAAGCGTTGTCGTTGTCTTCCTTTGTCATTTCATCTTATAGAACAATGCACACACGCATACACACATAGAAACAGCGAAATACAACACGCACAAAGCAATGAACGTGAAAGACCGATGGTGCAAAAGACACGCCTTTTGTGCAAATAGAACATACAAAAAAGAAAAAGAAAAGACGAAAAAGAAAAAAAAATC